AATGAGACACTGGTTTTTGTTTTATTTTGTTTTTTCACTTTCGCTAACTTTCCTGTGCTCTTCCAATGTTCTGGCCACTATGTAAAACTAGTCGTGTCATCCCACTTAACACCAAAATAACCCGTATGATGTTGGTTCTTCTGCTTATCCCACTTTACGGCTCACAAAACGGAGGGTAAGGCACACAGCTGAGAAGTGGTGGGTGACACCAGACACTCTTCCTTCACGCCCATCTCCTGTCCCCGGAGTCAGAAAACAGTAGCCTGGGGGCCAAGTCCAGCCTACCACATATTTGTGTAAACAAAGCTTTATTGAAACGCTGCACAGCTCATTTGTTTGCATATTGTCTATGGCTGTGTTCATGTTATAACAGCAGAGCTGAGGAGTTTCCACAGAGACTGTGTGGCCCACAAGGCCTAAAATATGTGCTGTCTGGCACTTCACAGAAAAGTTTGCCAACCCCTGGTCCAGGCTATACTGGCAAAGACAGAATGAATGTTGAAGTGTTAGCAGTCTTCTAAGAGGCTCAACATATCATACACAAAGTACAGCGCTTGCAACAAAAACGGAAGCTTTCCAATGACCTTAAAAATCTTGAGTGGGAACAATCTTTCCGAGTCATCTGCCTTCTGTTTCTGAATTGTAAGTTGAGCCTGGCATTAGTAAATGTCTCATTACTCTCGCTCCCCTTTAGAAAGAAGTACACTCAGGATACCAGGAGTATTTATTGCTTGCAGAACTGTCTGGTAATAAAGAAACGGCCCCATTGGTCAAATAGCAATGGAAGATTTATTGATTTCCTATGCAAAGTATTACATTTAGACCTCAACAAACTAGGGCAAGAAAGCCCAAGTTCAACATAAAAGACAGGTGGGATGGTAGCAGTGGTATGGACCTTTCTTCGTCCAAACATTTAAGTCAGTGTAAGTTAGATACAGATGCTACATCACCCTCAAATGTGCAGCCGCGGCGTGTACGTAATAATGTGGAATGTGGCACTGCTTGGCTGGTGATGAAGGTTACGTTGCCCAGAACCTAATGCATCATCCTCTTCCCTTCAACACTCAGCCTCTCCTCCTATGTTGTCCATCTGTGAATGTCACCATCAAGGCTGAAAGCTGTCACCCCCTTTCCTTCACTCACCATATGTAATATGAGTCTGAGTCTGTGTACCCAAAGCCTTCCCACTTTCTATTTCTGCTGCATTCAAGCTCGTTAAGGCTCCTATTTATTCTGGGCCTTAACAATTTTTTTTTTTTTTAAGGCAACTTAGGGTCTTGGGGTCCCTTTCCATCCCACTCTAGTTCCTACTGGGCCGGCCGCAGGTTATCTTCTAGAAGTATGTCTAGTTCCCCACTCATGTCCCGTCCCCTTCCTGACTGCTCACCAGCTACCAAATGAAGGACAACCCTTGGCCCTGTGAATTCAGGGAACAATAGCTGGAGCTTAGTAACCTACTATTCACGCTCTGGCTGGGCGGCCCGAGCGAAGGCCTGCTGGAAGGGCGCCCTCACCCTGGCCGCGCCGGCGGTCTGCCCCCCACAGGCATCGGCCGACTCCCGCTCCCCATCAAAGGCCTGGCACGTTCACCATGCCAAGGAGGGCACGGAGACTGGCGGGGCCGAGGATCAGTGTCAGAGCGGGAATTCAACCCAGGGCTGTGGCCGGCAGAGGCCACTCTTCGCATCGTTCCCCGCCCCCGCCGCCCCCCAAGCCTCTGCCATCTCTGGATTCCCTCCTGCTCTGTACTTCTCCGAAGTGACTTGCAGAAAATTAAACTTAGAATTACACTTATTTACTTCCCTTCCAAAATTGAAAACCCCTGGAGGGTAGTGGTCTAGTTTTATTAATCTGTAAACCTCTTCAAATACCCAGCCTGGTACCCAGCTGGGGCTAAATGAAGAACAAAGGGCTACTGCCTCCTCCAGGAAGTATAATGGGGGAAGGAGAAAGAAAAGATCACTCCAAAAATCCATCAACAGAATGCCCCCAAGAGGTCTTTCTTTGTGGTTTGTTTATACCCCAACATATATTCACCAGGACTTCCTGAAAATAATTTTGAGGAAACAAAGACCATGAAAAATTAGCTGCCAGATTTGGAATGGTGAGTTTCTGTGGAGGAGGGGTCAGAGCAAAAGGAATGGCCACATAGAGCGACTAGATTTCCTAAGGAGAGTAATTCATTTTACGCCAAAAATGGGGTAAAGCAGCCGGTCTCAACCCCAGCTGCACATGAAAATCGCCTGGGGAAGTTTTAACAATCCTGAGAGCCAGGCCAATCTCAGACTGAGTAAATCCAACTCTCTGGGGGTGGGCCTGGGTATCTGTGGCTTTTAATGCCCCACCACCACCACCACCCCGAGGGGATCCCAATACGCAGCCAGAGTAAAAATTGCTGGAGGGAAGGGTCCTGCGTTGGAATCCTGGCTCCACTAATTACTAACTATGTGACCCTGAGCAAGAGACTCCTCCTGCATCCTTTTTCTTCGACCCCGAACAATCCTTCACTAGCTATAAACCCCCTCTCAGTTTCCTCTTTGTCCAATGGGAATCCTAACAGTACCTAACCCTCACGGACGTTACTTTCAGCTCTGAATGAAGCGGATACATGGAGGTTCTTAGAACAGTGTCCAGGCACTCAATAAATGTTAGCTCTTGTTACCCCTAAAGGTATTTTATCCTAAAGGTATTTATTTTAACCTAAAGGTATTTATCCCTAAAGGGTTTGTAACATCTGTCTCACAAGCTGAGGACTAACTACACAGGATATTAAAAATGCTTAATACATGGCACTCTCTTTTCCCATTTTTTTAAAGTTGTATTTTAAGTGATCTCTATACCCAATGTGGGGCTCAAACTCATGACCCTGAGATCAAGAGTTGCACACTCCTCCGACTCAGCCAGCCAAGCGTCCCTCTTTTTCTATTCTTATATCCCACTCACAATTATCTCTGTGTACCTGATCTAACTTGAGGACCCTCAGCATAGAGAAACCTACCTCCCCAATGCTCCCTTAGAGTTACCAGATAAAATACAGGAGCACAGTCTATATTTACAAATCATTCGCTGTGTATCTGAAATTCAAATTTACTTGGTCACCCTGTATCTTTATTAGTTAGATCATGCAACCCCACATTCACCTGTCATTTAAACCTGGGCTGAAACTGAGGTGGGGAGGCAGAATCAGTCCATGGAGGTACCAAAATACAAAAACATAAAGGAAAAACAAGTCAGTACCTGGGACCTTTACCGCTTCATCCCACCCCACCCCCCCATAGCCAAAAGACATGTTACTACAATGATAAGCAACTAGCCAGCTCCCCAGTGTAGGGCAAGTCAATGCATTGTTCAGATGAACAAAACGCACTGGGAAACTATTCAAAGGCAAAGGAGGGGAGAGAGAAGAAAGCTTTCCTAAGCTGGCCCCTCTATTGTGCAGTCATTTATCTGATACATAAATCAAGTGAACTGTAAATTTGAACAGAAACCCTTGCCTCTTGGTAGAACATGTTGCAACCATCCCACAGGGCAAAAGCTTAACTATAAATTATTTAGCCCTATAAATGATGCAAGACCAAAACCCAAAGCCATGTTATGGGCTTTGAGAGTTCTATGCCACACAGGTCTCTAAGGTGTCACGTACCTTTATGTTTTATTTTGTTTTAATCCTCCCTTTACCAAAAAAAACTAAGTTTATTTTACTTTTTCAAAGCAATTTTTTTTCCATTAAAAAAGAGGGCAGAAAAAACAGACCCATCAGACAAACAATTTTCTTGAAACCCATTTCACAAGGTATTTATTTTGAATTCTCAGAGCAAGGTCCCTGGGGAAATGTTAAGTTCTGAACTATGTCCACTATAATATTGGTATATGTGTAAGAAGCTGAAGATTAAAACACTACACAAGAAGTTAAGAAGCATTAAGAGCCAATGAGTCAGCTAGTTCTGTAAGAATTGAATTAAATCAGCCACTAGATTGTTCATTGATTATCGCAAACACCAAAAGCTCTCCTGCAAAGGCATGTTTTCCAGTCCACTTGGCTAATCCCTTCTGAACAAGGATCCAAAGAATGAATATTATTTATCCAGTGGCAAGCTGCACAAATTAATCACACCCAAGCACCATGCTGGCAGCCAAACACAATCTATAAAATAATACCAGACTATCATCATAAGCCAATAACAAGAAGGAAAGCAGCTGTTATTCACCTCCCCCCACCGAAAAGACTCCCAACTTATAAAAGATCTGAAATGACATTCTCCCACCCTGCTTTACAGCCGACTAACTGCGGCTGGTAAGTCACATGAAAATACTTTTAAAAGAGGAGAAAGACAGGAAGGTAGAAATGTGTCTTTTTTTTAAAGAGCAAGATAACTAAAAGGCCAAATGAGCACAACCATTCATCAACTTGTGCAAAATTCACATTAAAAACCACACTGTAATGAGTACATAGCATCAGCCTTAGCTCCGGTTTACTTAGATGAGTTACCACATATATTAACAACATAAATGAGTTTGATAAAATCGGATTCGCTTTTTTCTACAAACGGTAGAAACGAACTCATTCCGCTGGACAAGCGGTAGATTTAGGCAGCGACCCACGGTATCCAGAGGCCAGGCGCTGGCAAAGTTCCGACTTCGCAAGGTGGCTAAGAATACGTGCTAGAAACGGCACAAAGGGAAGGGGGGCCAGGGACAAGAAACGCTCCTTTCATGACGCCCCGCGTCCCTGGCTGTCTACTTGAATGCTGCCCTATGAGGCTGCCAGCTTTGAAAGTAAAAAAGAGGGAAAAAATACGTGTAACTTCAGTCAGAAAGGAGTTCTCTGTTTGCCGTGCTCACTGAGACGGAGGAAGACAGTGCGAAAGAACCTTCATCTTCACGTGGAGAAGCTTTTTATTCCTGTTTGACCTGTGGTTATGCAGTTTAGAAAGCAACCACATGGGCTGAACAAGAAGCGGGATAACACAGAGCTGTAGGTGGAGGTGGCCACGTGACTGCACGGGGTGGGGGGGCGGAGGGGGCGTCCCCTCCCTCCGCCCCTCCCCCTTCCGTCTGCCCCCCCCCCAGACACTGCACAGGGATCAGAATGTCACGTGTGAAAGGCTCCACCAGAGGTCAATGCGCCACGTTACTCTCACCCGGCGGCTCCTCTGAAGTTCCATTGACTGGATGCAGCCTGATGTGCTTTGCTCTCATTCAAGGTCAAGACCAATTCTATATATCCATTCACCTCAAGGTAAAATGACATTTCGATGCCCTCTCAAGGGCTGAATGCCGGCAAGTTTGGTGGAGGAAAGAAAGACACCGGGTAAAGGAAAAAAGATGGTGGGAGTGAAGGAGGAGCTTCTTTCTAAACTCTTCAGCTACTTGGGAAAGGTATTTTCTGCTACAGTTCTGTTTGAACCGGTGAGGAAATGAACTTGAAATATTGGTAACACTGAAAAGGAAAGACACAAACATTGAGTGTCCATGAGGCGTATATAATAATACATAGATATAGATAATTACAGATTATTCCACTTCACATATATACACACATATGTAATAAACCTATGTAAATTGACCCTTGAACATTATGGGGTTAGAGGCCCCAACTCAGTTTAAAATCCACATATAACTTTTGACTCCCCAAAACTTAATAGCCTACTGTTAACTGGATGCCTTACCCATAGCATAAACTGTCAAGTCACATATTTTGTATATGTCTTATATACTGAATCTCACAATTAAGTAAGCTAGAAAAAAGAAAACATTATTAAGAAAATCATAAGGAAGGGAAAATATATTTACAGTACTGGACTGTATTTATAAAAAGAAAATCCTCATAAGTGCATCCACACACTTCAAACCTGTGTTGTTCAAGAGGTAACTGTGTGTGTGTGTGTGTGTATGTGTGCACACGTGTGTCTATAAATATATCTATTTATGTTACATTCAGTATCTCATTTCATCCTCACCAGAACCTTCAGAAGTAGAACAATGTGCAGTCATTTTACCTTTGAGGAAACCAAGGAATGGACTACACACCACCTGACCCTAAAGCCTGTGCTCTTCTTCTTGCTGATGGCTTTTTCAACCTGCTTCCACACAAGAGGTGGGCGCCTTTTCTGTGAACAGCCAGAGAGTAAACACCCTAGGCTTTGCTGACTAGAAGGTCTCTGTTTCAATGACTCAACTCTTCCACTACTGGGAGAGATGAACCAGAGGCAGTAAGTAAAGGAATGAGTATGACTGGGTTTTAGTATAACTTTACTTATGGATGCTGGCATTTGAATTTCATGTAATTTTCACATCACAAAACATTTTTCTTCTCTTGATTATTTTAACCATTTAAAAAAGTGAAAGCCATTCTTAGCCTGCAGACCGTACATAGGCCATAGTTTGTCAGTCAGCCTTGTTCTACAACATTCATAGATAACATCCTTTTTTCTTTTTTTTAGAGAAAGTGTAAGTGGGGAAGGGGCAGAGAAAGGGGGACAGAGGATCTGAAGTGGGCTCTGCAGTGAGCCCAATGTGGGGCTTGAACTCATGAACCACGAGATCATGACCTGAGCGGAAGTCGGGTGCTCAACCAACTGAACATTTTGATTATCTGGGGGTAGGGGAGCGGGAGGGAGATTGTACTGTCCTAAGAATTAGATGAGAGAATCGGGGGAAAGGTGTCCTGGTTGTTTTTAATGTCTAACACTTCATTTCCATTTCACAGCAGGCCAAGTATCTCCTCCATCACACCACTGGAATAAAAAACAAACAAACAAACAAACAAATCCCTGCCATTGACACTAGCAGAGAAAGTAATCCATACGTATAGATACAGTGATGTTTCTTTAAAATGAACTCAGCTCACATACTAGCATACCATTTTGAAATTTGCTCTTTTTAAAAAATTTCTAAAGCATCAGTTTGCTTCCTGGGTACAGCTGCCCCTCAGGTATTCTAGAAGGAAAAGAAGATTTAAATAAAACCAGTTGAGGGGTGCCCGGGTGGCTCAGTAAGTTAAGTGCCAACTCTTGATTTCAGCACAGGTTATGACATCATGGTTTGTGAGTTTGAGCCCGACATCTGGCTCTGTGCTAACAGCGTAGTCTCTCCATGGGATTCTGTCTCTCCCTCTTTCCCTGCCCTTCCCCTCCTCTCAAAATAAATAAATAAACTTAAAAAAATAAAATCATAAATAAAATCAGGTGAAAATCATACAAGTGGAGATGATTTGACCAGGCAAAAAAAATAGAAGCGACCCTGGCCAGAGATTAGTAAGGCATACGATACTTTGAACACCTTTCCAAGATAGTGATGACAGGCTGATTTCCTAATGTTAGTGTGGAGTTAACTTACCATCTAATCAATGTGTTCTCTCTTGGATAGTCTTTCCTAAACATTTCAAGCTGACTGGCACAGGAGAGCAACCTATCCTGTTACCCACTGGCTAGTGTTTTGTGGTATGTAAGTCTCTAAATTTTAGGGAGTAGTCTTACTATTGCTCACTTGTACATCTCTTTGCTATCGCTCAAGGTTGGACAATGGTAAGGATTAGTTGAAATGATTCACGTATGACCTTGATGCACAAAGACCTTGAAGGCAAAGACTCCCAGCTTCTACGTCTGGTAGTCTGGTAATTCCCCTCAGAGGTGCTTCTGACACTTAGCATGGCTCCCACCTGCTAACAGTTACTTTTCAGGAAGCATGTGGTATGGTAACCCCCTTTCCAAAGGCGAATGGCAAGGCCATTGCTGATTTCGAAACATGGTTACACTTTATGTTGGGAATGCATAGCAGAAAATAGCTGGCCAGCCATGTGAAGAAACAAAGCCAGAAGAGACAGTATATTTTCAGGAGCAATTTAGTGCATGATTGATCTTACTGATACTACTAATGTAGTGGTTATAGCTGACTGGCTTTACCCAACTGGCCAGCACTCTGTGTTTGGGGAAAAACATAAAGTGTAACCATGTTTTGAAATCAGCAATGGCCTTGCCACTCGTTTAGGAAAGGCTATCCAAGAAAATCTTGAGAACATTCCCTCCTGATACTGGCAAGTGAAGTTTTAAAATCTGCACTTCGTTTTTCTCAATCAACAGGTCTGAATGGCAAGACATGGAGAGGTGCCCCGGATTTTACATACTCTTAAAAGACAGCTAGACTAATTAAGCTTTGTATTCACAGAATAATATATGTTAGGCCACAGAACAAGCTTCAACTCTTTTAAGGTTTAAAAAAAAAATCCTTAAACCCTTTTTAACAGTCACCTTCTGCAAAGGAAGTATGGGGCCAAATGATTCTCGTTTTGTTTTGGAACATTTCGAATGATGTTCCAAAGCAGTTTAGATTCATGAAATTAGGTGATTAAAGAAAGTTCGTGATAAGAAGCAAATGTTATAAATATTCTTTATTTAGGATAGATGAGGCCCATCTTTCTGTTGCAAGAGCAACACAGAGGCTTAAAATAATCTGCCTTCCCCAGGAGGACTGCTCCGGCACTGGGGCACTGCCTTTGTGCCTGTGGAATCTGAGGAATTTGGGTGAGAATCCTGGAGTGCTGCAGTGTTGGGGAATCCTTCTTTGAATGTGGGACAATGGGGCCAGCTGCCACTCCTGACCTTGATAAGCCACGGCATCAGTCATTCTGCCTGGCTCTGTGCTGCTCCCGCCCCCTCGCTGGGGTGTCTGGGAGGAAATTCTCATTTGTTTAAGCCTGACACATCCCTAATAGCATTTCCTAAGCAGCCTCTAAAACGAGTGTGTTGTAAAAGCAACAGAAGGCTTCAGTTGAAAATGGTCACAGAAGACAATCTGGCTACCACATGAGGTCTCCAGTGTCACTGAAAAGTCCCGTTAGAATGAAGGCCCTTTCATAGTCTGCTTTTGTGCCTGGGATGGTCCTCCTTCAGTGGCGAGAAGACGAAGATTTCCCTGGGACTAACGCTGCTCTCAGAAGTTCCTTTACAGCACACAGCCACTCACTTCAGTGACAGCCACTCACTTCAGTGACAGTCACTCACTTCAGTGACAGCCACTTTATGCCCTCCATGTCGTTTTCTGTTCTGCTCAAGGATGTCTGGCTCTTACATAATAACACAAGGATCTTTCAGTGGGTCCACAGAGGAAGAATGAGCTTGGGGACAAAGTACCATTTTCCACACTTATGTTTCAATACTTTCATTTCAGGCTAATTTCTGTAACAGGTCTTTTCAAGACATGGATACTTTAAAAATCAACTGAAGATCGCGAGAGACAGAAAGACTTCCTTGTCTTCCCATACGTGACTTTCAATGTCTTCTAAATATAGGAAGAAACAGTAGGCTGTTTTCTTCAAGCAAATAATTAATGGTTTCAGTTACAATTTATTTATTCTCATAACAACCCTATCGGCAAGGACTGTAATTGCCCCTGTTTTACAGATAAGTGAACTCAAATACAAATAGGTCATTCGCCAAAGGCCATGTTTGTAATTGGCGGTACCAGGATCTGAATCAGTTCTGTCTCCTGATCAATGCTGGAACCCACTCTCCTTCTGCTAAACCTCTACAACCACAACAGCTTACTGCATTATTATACAAGCCCCAATCCTTTCTCCCTTCCAATGTGGAAAAGAAACTATCCTCTTCAGTGAGTCTGGTCTTGGTTAGAGCAATGGTTCTTAGGGCACCCCCACTCCCACCCCCTCCGCCCAGGACACACAGGCAGTCTGGAGATACTTCTGATTGACTTAGGCATGGGGAAGTGGGTGCTGCTGGCATCCAATAAGTAGACACTAGGATAATACTGAACATCCTATAACGTGCAGGGCAGCCCCCACAATAAAGAATTGTCCAGAACAAAAGGTCAATAATGACAAATAGGTAAGTCCTCTCATGACAGAGATCTTCCTTCCATTCCTTTTCTCCACCACTGCCTTCAAGCCTATCGACTACGTGCACCCAAAACTATTTAGGAAATAAACTTTCCTAAAATTGTCTTTCTTGCTCTTCCCCTACTTGACCTCTTTCTTGCTACCACCCTCCTGCCAAAAAAAAAAAAAAAAAAAAAGGCACAAAAAAAAAAAAAGCCAGAAAAAAACCC